ACACACACACACACACACACACACACACACTTCTAACTGAAAAGGATTGGTACCCATACAGATCTGACTCCGCCCACTTTTCAATGAAGTTACCGCAAGTTTTGAATTTTATAACTTTTTCAATGTCGTTCTTCTTCACATTCAATCACTTATGTATACTAGTAGCCGTAGTGCATTTATATACTAGCACACTGCCCCCCCCCCCTGTAGCCGCGCCCACTCTTGTATTTTTGATTTCTCTTCCGAATTTTCGCGTTTTAGGCAATATCAAGTGGCTCCGTCCAGATAGAAGCTCCACTCTTTTTCAGAAGCTCTGGCCACTTTTGAAAAATGATGCGGTCGACAGGATAGAGTTCTTGCTGGCAGGTTATGGTCTCCCCATCACCCGGAAGAAAAAAAACCACTGTGTAACGGGAGAGACAATAACCGACGAGAATGTGACCCTGCCAAGCTGGGTCATTTTTCAAAAGTGGGTGAGATTTCTGCAAAGTGGGTGGAGCCACTTACTACAGCCTCAAAAAAGCGAAAATTCGGAAGAAAAGTCAAGCTCCGCGAAAATCACAAAAGTTGATGTGGCCAGAAGGGCGGGGCTTATTGTGCTAGTGTATAAATACGCTATAGGCTACTAGTGTATTCGTTTTGTGAAGATGAATGTGAAAAGAACGACGTCGAAAAAGTTAAAAAATCCAAAACTTGCGGTAACTTCATTGAAAAGTGGGCGGAGTCAGATCTGTGTCGGTACCAATCCTTTTCAGTTGAAGTGTGTGTGCAACTAGCAAAAGTGAAAAAAAGTCGAAGAAGCAGAATTCATCAAACATTTTGGAAAGCCACGGCCGCGCTGAGAAGTGGGCGGGGATGTTGGGGCGGGGCTTGCAGCAGTACCTAGTGTGGTCTAGTTATCAACTGCCTATTGTAAGGGGTGTGTCCGATTTGATTTGAAAAGTGTCCGATTTGGGTTTTTTGCATTTCACACACACACGCACACACACACACACACACACACAGCAGCACACAGCATCACAGCTTCACGGCAGCACACAGCACACACAGCGGATTATATACAGACCAGCCGACTTCGCCGGCTGACTCCGGCGCGCCTCCTAAGATACTGCGCGGCTCTGCCGCGCTTACCTTCTTCTACACATTTCATTAGCCGCCTAGAATCAGGCTCTTCTTTTACCCGAACAGGTGGCCAACATTCTTTGAGTTCGGCAATAGGCATATCAAATAGCCCTGCTCCTTTCAACACTATTACGGTGTATGGAGTGGTGGTAAGGAGCGTTGATCAAGTGGACAGATGAGAGAAAAGCCGGGTATTAGTCGAGCATTTGATCGTACGAATGTAGATAGGCGCGATGGAGAGCCGCGCAAAGCCGGGCCGTGTCACATAGAGGTCCGAAGTGCCTAGGGT